TCCCCTGTGTGTCCCCCTGTCCCCTGCGTGTCTCCATGTCCCCTGTGTCCCCCCATGTCCCCTGTGTGTCCCCATGTCCCCTGTGTCCCCCCATGTCCCCTGTGTGTCCCCATGTCCCCTGTGTGTCCCCCCCTGTCCCCCATGTCCCCTCACCTGGTGATAATGTGCCAGCAGCCCGTGCAGGTCAGCCACGCCCTCACTGCTGAGCTCCTTCAGCACCAGCGTCCGGTCGGCCGAGAGCAACAACCGGGGCGAGGTTTGGGACCAGCGGGGGGGGTGACGGGTCAGGGACACCTGGGGGGACAGAAATACCCTACAGAGACCCTATAGGTACCCTACAGTGGGACCAGTGGGGCAGTGATGGGCCAGGGATACCTGGGGGACATGGGGATCCTATAGGGATCCTACAATAACCCCATGGTGGACCAGGGATACCTGGGGTACACAGGGATCCTGCAGGGATCCCATACTGACCCTATAACAGGTCAGGGACACCTGCAAGAACAGGAGGGTAATTTTACAGGGCACAGGTATCCGACCCTATAGGGGACAGAGGTGTGACCTCACAGGGGGCAGGTGAGACCCCACAGGCTCTGGGGTGACCCCACAAGTGACAGAGGTGCCCCCACAGGTATCAGGGTGCCCCCACAGGTACCAGGATGCCCCCCCAGGGGTCTGGGTGCCCCCACAGGCTCTAGGTGCCCCCATAGGGGTCTGGGTGCCCCCACAGGCTCTGGGTGCCCCCCCAGGGGTCTGGGTGCCCCCTCAGGGGTATGGGTGCCCCTATAGGGCTCAGGGTGCCCCCATAGGGCTCTGGGTGCCCCTATAGGGGTCTGGGTGCCCCCACAGGCTCTGGGTACCCCCCCAGGGGTCTGGGTGCCCCCTCAGGGGTCTGGGTGCCCCCATAGGGCTCAGGGTGCCCCCCCAGGCTGAGGGTGCCCCCTCAGGGGTCTGGGTGCCCCTATAGGGCTCAGGGTGCCCCCTCAGGGCTCTGGGTGCCCCCATGCCGTGCCCACCTGGTAGTCGATGTCGTCGATGCCGAAGCGCTCGCGCAGGTTGCGGAACACCTGCGGGCAGTACTCCTTGAACTTGAAGTGGCTGGGCAGGGTCTCCCTGGGCAGGGGGGGGGGATGTCAGGTTTGGGGGGTCCCTCCCCCGCGGCAGGACCCCTCCCCGTGCCCCCCCAGCCCCCCCTCACCTGTTGAACAGGTGGTTGTTGACCTTGATCTTGGAGCTGGCCTTGAAGTCGTCGGGGAGGAGCATCACGGGCAGGGGCACCTGCGCCAGCTCGTTGATCTGGGGGGCACGGGGGGGGCGTTGGGACCTCCCCCCCAGGGCTGCCCAAACACCTTGGGACCGCCCCAATCCCTCCGGGACCACCCCCCATCCCCCGGGACCGCCCCTCATCCTCCGCGGCCACCCCAACCCCGCCGGGACGGTGACACCCCCCCAACCCCCCGGGGGGACCTGCGGGGTGGATGGGGGTCCCGGCGGGTGGGGCTCGAGGGAGGGGGGTCCTGGGGAAGTCGGGGGTCCTGAGGGGGACACGGAGGGGACTCTCGGGGGATCGGGAGGGCCTGGGGGGGACACACGGGACAGTCCCGGCCAGGGGGTCTCGGGGACGCAAAGGGGGGTCCTGGGGACACCGATCGGGGTCTGGGGGGCACAAAGTGTGTGTGTGTGTAGGGGGGTCCTGAGGGGATCGGGGAAGAGCTGGGGACAAACAAGGCGGGGGCCTGGGGGGCACATGAGGGTCCTGGGGACACGGGAGGGGTCTGGGGGGGCACCCGGGGATGCCAGTGGGGGAGTCCCTGTGGGGGTCCCGAGTGTCCCCCCGGGGGCCCCTGTGGGGTCCTTATGGGGGTCCCTGTGGGATTCCCCGTGACGGTCCCCTCCTCCCCCGCGGTGCTGGTGTTGGGGGGGGGTCCTTGTGCGGTTCCCTGTGGGTTCCTCGTGGGTGTCCCCGTGGATATCATCGTGGTCCCCCCCCCCCCCCCCCCC